TATGGATGATCTTTTCCAGCTCCATCCATGTTGCTGCAAAAGGCATGGTTGGTTTTTTTTTTTTGGTTGCTGAGTAATATTCCATTGTGTGTATGTACCATATCTTTTTAATCCAGTCCTCCACTTTTGGACATTTGGGTTGTTTCCATGTCTTTCCAATTGTAAATAAAGTAGCAGTGAACATGGGGGTGCAGGTACCTTTTTGAATCAGTGTTTTTGTGTCTTTTAGGTAGATACCCAAGAGTGGGATTGGTGCGTCATATGGCAGCTCCCATTTTTAGCAGTTTGAGAAGCTTTCAAACAGTTTTCCATAGTGGTTGTACTAGTTTACATTCCCACCAGCAGTGCAGGAGAGTTCCTTTTTCTCCACATCCTCGCCATCATTTGTTGTTGTAGTTGTTTTAAGATGTGCCATTCTCACTGGTGTGAGGTGGTATCTCATTGTGGTTTTATTTTGCATCTCCCTTATTACAAGTGATATTGAACATTTTTTCATATGCTTGTTGGTCATTTGCATTTCCTCTTTGGAGAAGTATCTTTTTAGCTCTCTGGCCATTTTTTGATGATGTTGTATATCTTTGTGATCAATCCTTTGTCACTAGTTCTGTGTGAGAAAATTTTTTCCCAATCAATGGGATGTCTATTTGTTTTTTGTAATGTCTCTTTTGCTATACAGAAGCTCTTTAACTTGATGTAGTCCCATCTGTTTATCCTTTCCTTCACTATTGTTGCACTGGGTACTGGATCTTCAAAAATGTTACTGAGGTGTAAAGCAGTGCCTTTTTATATGCTCAAAACAGTATTTGAAAAGACAGATTTTCCATGAAACATATCCATCAGTGTCTTTTACTTGAGTGGGGTCCTTCCAAAGCCCTCAGAAGAACCGTAGCAATATGTTCATGTGATGATAGTTTAATAAATTTTGCAAAATTTAGAGATTTTAACAATCAGTTAAGACTGCTGTCTCCTCCTACTCATAATTTCATCTTGTTAGTCTCAATCTTATTCAGGGCATTTGGGGGAACTAGCCAAGGGGAAGTTGAATTGGAACTATATTTAGTTGGGGTTTGAATTTTGTATTTGTGGAATATGCAGTCACTTCTATTATAATTAATTGCTGCAGGTCAAAGCAGTATAGGGACAGCTTTCAGGAATGTGGCATGTGACGTAAGTGTACAAGGTCATGTGTCAGCATGTCGTATGGTACTCAGAAAGCATGAGTATGTAGGTGTGGAGAAGAAATAGAGTTTAACTTTAAAAAAAAAAAAAAAGAAATAGAGTTTAAAAAGCACAGAACCAGAATGCTTTGTACATCTAAGCCATAACTTTTTATGCCACCAAGAATGATGTGTGGTTTCCTTTGTAGCATAAAAGGTTTAGGTGTCATACTTTATAATTATTATTAGGAGGTGAAATAAGCCAGTCACAAAAGATCAAATATAATTTCACTTATATATGGTCAATTTTTTGAGACAGAAAGTAGAAGGGTCGTTGTAAGAGGCTAGGGGAGGGGCAGATGGGCGTTATTATTGCTGGGCTGTGTTCTATGGGTGGTGGTAATGGTTGTACAACATGTGAATATACTTAATGCCACTGAACTGTACACATATTTATTAGCACGGCAAATTATATGAATATTTACCACATTAGAAATATCGTTTAAAAATATTTTTAAGGTCCTCCCTGGCTGCATAGCGGGTTAAAGCACTGCACTAAGAAGCTTAAGCCACTTCCACATGAGTTCAATCCCCACCTGTCCCAGAGGTGACCACACGGGGCATGGCAGACCTCTCCTGACCTGCCTGCTGCTCCCCTCAGCAGTGCACTTTGTCGATCTGCCTATTCTGCTCCCCACTCTGTTCCTGGTGAATCCTCTCACCCTCCGCATCTCTGGCCTGTACCCTAGTTCTATATGAATAAATAAATAAATCTTTAAAAAAATATTTTTTTAAAGCTTACAGTGCCAGAAGTTCTGTATAGAAAACTGTAAGAATTAAGTTTACATTGAGACCCTGTCAAAACAGAAACTATCTCCTTTTATATATATATATATATATAGATATATATATATATATATATATATCATACATATATATAAGGTGTATACCATATATATATATAAGGTATATACCATACATTATATATGTAAGGTATATACCATACATTATATATGTAAGGTATATACCATACACTATATAAGAATACATACACACACACACGGAGTATATATAGTATATATACTATATATTATATAGTAATATAATTGATACTATAACATACATAATTATAAATTTTGTATAGTTTTCCCCCCTTTTTGATAGGACTGACATAAAATAAAATTATTATAATTTCTACTTGTAAGCTGCATTCATTTTTTGCTACTAAACAAATAACCACAGATCTAGTAACTTAAAATAACAGAAATAGATTGTCTTACAGTTTCACAGTTTCCAGAGTCTCACAGATCTCTGTCAAGCTCCATTTCTTTCTGGGGGCTGTAGAATTAAATCTGTTTCTTTTCCTTATCCAGCTTCTGGAGGCTGCTCACATTCCTTGGTTTGTGACCTCTGTCCTCCATTGGAAAGACAGAAGCTTTGTATTTTTCTGTTCAGTTCTCCATATCTTCCTCTCTTTCTGAACTCAGCCAGGAAAGGGCCTCTGATTTTAATTGCATGCAATTAGGGTAGGCCACAGATAATGAAAAATAATTCCTCTCTTCTCAAGGTCTTCATCTTAATCACATCTTTAAAGCCCCTTTTGCCCTATAATGTAACATAGTCACAGATTTTGGGGTTGAGGATGTGGCTTTCTTTGGATGCCATTCTTATAAACTAGTTGTATAGGTGTTGATTAGCACATTTAATTAATTCTGTCATATTGGATCATCTCGTTCCAACCAAGTCTGGTCATTCAAGGGGAAATAGCAAACAAAATTCTTTTTCTCAGAGAGGAATCCCAAAGTTGCATAAACTTTATGCCACAAAAATTTGGATCCACTTTTGATGAGCATAAATAAATTTCTTGGCTAGCAAAACTTACCTAGGAGATTAAAAGTTTTAAAGCTAAGCAGGGAATGATATTTACAAAGATTTCTATATGTAGTTTCATGTTAAGATCACTTCAATAAACATTTAGAAGTATAAAAAGAACATAGAATACATTTTTCTTCTAATTTATATTAGTAACAATATTCAATAATAAGACTCTTAAGTTTATAAGATAAAATATAATCAGATACCTTGTGATGTAGACATTACTGACTCCTGAAGGAATGGGGAATAAGAGGAAATTACAAAAGTTCTTTAAAATAGCTTATTAATTGTTCATCTTCTATTTCAAAACTCTGAAATAATCCTGATGTACAAAAATAATAAGTAAACAAAAATGGCTATCAGCAGTGTTGATAAATTAGAGGATAGTAAAGTATAAAATTTTTCTAAATGAAAAGTAATTTAATTCTAAACTATCTACAGAGAATCATGACTATAATTTACTGATGTTTGCTAATAATTATTTTGCTGTTTTATTAATGTTGCCTTTTTCTTGTTATTTAATAGCACGGAAACATGACTATCAGCAGCAACAAAACCAAGTTGACAGTGTGCAACTTCCATTGGAATGAAATCTCAGAAAATAAGCAACTTAAGTAATTATTCTGAAACAGCTTGCTCTACAGCAAGCTTCCAAGTTTGTGTATTGAATCATGCACTACGTTTATAAAAAGTCCTAAACACAAAAAGCCTGCACTTATGTTGAATGATACAGTATAACCAGGAGATTGTGATTTGTACCTTTTGAAGATCTTTTAATTTCTTCAGAATATAGTCAATCATGAATAAAGCACAGATTTGGAAGCAAGAACTCAGAGCTTATGCCACTTGATTTGAAATTTTTGCAAAGTTTTAAAAACTAGTCATTGTAATAACTTTGAGATTGTGTTCTATTATAAATGCAATGTGGAAAATGTACTAATTTGTTCTTGTTACCAACCTTGATTGCATAGACTGTCTCTGCTTATTCAGAACTAGCACAATTGATTGTGGTCTAGTCAAGAAGCATAGCCATTGGCTAATTGGGGGGACTTTATGACTGCACTATTTTCTTCTTAATTGCGTTCCCATGAGTTTTTTTTTTTGTTGTTGTTTGTTTGTTTTGTTTTCTTAATCCACAGAAGGGCCATCTTCAGGTTACCCAGGGACCATACTGCTGAGTAAATGGCACCTCTATATTTATGTTTAGCAAGTTTCTTTTTGGTCATGTGACTGAGAGTGGTTAATGTATCTATCTGGTTACTTGTGCTTTTTTAGGATGACTGAGATTCCCTGAAGACTTTCTTGTTTGTGTTTATGCTGAGCGTGAAATATTTTTACTTCATTTTTTATGTTTAAATAGAAGCTATTTTGAGGTAGAAGAGGAGGTTAACTGTCCATCTAACTAAGAATTTGTTTTTGTATCAGAGTTAATTCTTAATTCAAAGAATTATAGTTAGTATTTCAAGCATTACTTCTTTTTCCTCTTTATGATTATCAGGTAAACAATGTAAGTTTTAAAAGGTTTAGACCAAGTAAAATCATTCAGGAAAGTTGTCTTTTATCAATTTAATGTGTATGTTGTGCAAGGTGTATGTTTGTCCAAATGGAATAATTCTTAACTCAGAAATGAGTTTGACTGTGGAGCACTCTATACATAGAATGAAAAACTGGCTAAAGGATTATGGTTATAGTTAGGGGTTGGACCTAGTAGAGTGGCAGTGGGACAGTCCTCTTGAACTTTGCCTTCCTCTGAAGGGAATCACAGAGTATTTTCATGAGCAAAGACATAAGCAGGAGCGTGCGTGAATGGTCTGCTTGCTGTCACAGATGTGGTACAATAAGGGCAAATTATAGAAACTGGCCATCTGATTATTCGTAAAGGTAGGGTACATACATAAATATAAATCACATGTAGATGACTATGCCTTACTTATATCCACTGGAGAGAAAGGATCATAACTAAAAACTGATAAATGTTACAGTGAGCATCTAACCTTGGCAAGCAAGAGAGAATGAATTCCTCCTCATTTTTTTCCCCTCTAAACTAACTGATGGGAATCATACCGCCCACTGTCAGAAACAACAGCAAGTCCAGCTTTGAAGTTTCTTCACTGCTTCAACAGCTGAGCTGGGAAAAAAGGGGTGGAAGCCCTGCAGCCACACTTCAAAGCTGCACCAGCTGATTGTCCTGCTTCTGCCCCTGAATCCGCTAAGGATTCAATGGAACTGTTTTCTTTGGAAGAAAAATGGAATGACTCATCAAGTGGTAACTAACACTTGTGTTCTCCTTTTCCTCGTTTCTTCTCTTTAATTCAGAAGATATTCAGCAGTAAGCCCTGGTCTGCCTCTGCGGGTGCACAGCTTGAGTGTGTTAAATAATTGGATGTTTAGCTGATGCCAGCCAGCTGCCTGAAGGGAAGAAGTTCGCTTCCAAAGGGCACAGATGTTTGCTATTGACCTCGTACTGTTTCAGGTGGGGCTATTTATGTGACTCATCAGAAATGCAGTTTATAGTAAAATTGCTCTAATGTCAGAAATAAGTTAAATGTGAATAGATAGATAAGATAGTGGTAATAAAAACAGTTTCAGCTATTAAGATAAGAATATTTCACTTAGAAAGTAATTAAACGGAGAAGAGAGAAACATTTATGGAGTCAAATATTTCATTTGACAGTTATGTGCTGAGCTAACCATATGTGATCCTTACAGGCTATTCTACTCTAGTAACAGAAGAAGGAATGGGTACCGGAAATCAAATGGAAATATGGGCACTTGACTTCTTGCAACCTTGCACCGTGATAAGTCATTCCATTTTTCTTCCAAAGAAAATGTAGGATCAGTGATGCGGGACTGAAGTCTTAGTATAGTTCCTACACAAACGCAAGAAAAATAATATATTTAAAGCAATAAAAATTTCCCATCTCTCCTTTTTCCCTCTTCAGCCTTCTGTAAATCTATACAGGTGAAATAGCTCTTCAATGAGGAGTTGTGTGAAGAGGAGGGAGTAAAGTATTGCTTAACTCCTGTAATACACATAGAAACAGCAGCCTTGACTTCTCACCCCAAAATAAAGGAGTGGCAGTTAGCAGTATGTTCTGCACCCATGTATTTCCTAGGTAGTGGTGAAAAACGAAAATATTTATGTAGATAAATGACATCCCACACTTTAGAGGGAAAGTTGAGAAAAGTCAGGGGAGGCAGTTTGCTCGCCAGGCTTATTGGTTCTGCCAATTCGTATGGATTATGTTGTCCACTTTATTTATTTTTTAATCTATGATGTTTCTAGCTCCAGACTTTCTTCTCACTCGAACAGCAGAGATCTCACTGTTATGAAGAAATGACTCCATTATAGGGCTTTTTATGAAAAAATATTTTGACAAATTTCAAGTTAGCTGAATAAAGTTGGGGATCTTTAATGCCAAACACTGTGTAGTTAAACTTGTAAATGCTTTGTATCTCAAGAAATTTAAATTTCTTGAAAAAACTACACGACAAATGTGTTTTTATAAATAAACATGTTTTTATATTCTTTGGGGACAGGATTACAAGTGTCTCTGAGTAATACTTTATTTTGAGGTGAAGTTGACTATAACCCATCATTATTCTCATAGCTGAAATGATTTCTAGCACCTAGTGTTAGCCTAGCAACTAACCCAACCTAAGTGCTTGATAAATATTTGTTGAATTAATTAATTTACTTGTGACAATATATAGAATCAATTTTTAAATTTTTTTTAAAGTGTAGGCTCTCCTTCTGATAATGCAAGAGTAATTTTATCAGACTAACTTCCTTACAGATAATGAGTTGAGAGCAAAGCATGGAATAACCATAAGCAGACTTTGAGATGATGCTTAAAAGAAGGGGACTGCATTGATTGAGATCTGTGTGTAGGTAGTTTTTTACCTGAAGGCATTTCCTATCTACCAGTTGAGAGTGATTAGATGTCAAGCAATACTGCAATAAACTGGTTTTAGGAATAGAATATAGTTCAGGGATTCTAAGTAGACAGGAAAAGGAGGAGGAGCATCACAGAAAAAATGAGCCATAAAAGAGATACCTCAAAATCTGCATATAAATACTTAGTCCTTGGCTTATCTGGATCTACACGGGGAAGAGCCTGCAAAAAAACAAAATAGGTAAAACTCTGAAAAAACTAAGAGTTTCAACTATTGCCCACCACAGGAAAATTATTTTAGGTCCAACCTAGAATCCCAGTCACCCACACCAAGTCCAATACATCATTTTTAAAATTATAGGAATATCAGGAAAATGAGATCCATGGTCAAGAGAATAGGACAATCTGGCCCTTACTGCAGAAGAAATGTAGTTGATATAAACTAACTCCAAGATGGTGAATTAGCAGGCAAGGGCTTTAATACAGTATTACAAATAGTTTACATAAATGAAATGCTTTCAAATCAATGGTAATTGACAGGATTTGTCAGCACAAATCTGCTGTGTAGGAAATACTAGAGAAAGTTCTTTGGGCTAAGGAGAATACCAAATGGTAACTCAAATCTAAGCAAACTCTAGGCACAATAAATAACCAGTTGGGAACAGATATTGATAGAAAAAGTAGGGACTTTACTGTAGAGTGAGGATTAGAGTCTGTAGTATGTATAACTTATCTAACTAAAATTTTTTAAGTCATAGTAAAATACTTATAAATCAATTTCTTAGTAAACCAGATTCTTTTGTGTCATACCATTCATCAGCAAAACTGAAAAACTGGGGAATTTCCACAGATGTTTTAGGCATTATACTCGTTTCTTCTCTACCTCACCCTAGAGTATCCAATATCAAAATCTACTTCCAAGAACACCTGAAACACTCACAAAAATGTAAATGACTGATAAAGTGTGTGACATTCATTTTGCATTTTAACAGAGACTTCAACTAGAAAGATAGGAAGTTTTCAGACTGATCATTTTTAGAGAATGAGAACCTTTCTGATCTTTGAAATCTTACCATGTTAACAAAAAACTACACCTATTCGCTTGGCAACCACTTCTGATTCTGCCCTTCTCTTTTATCTTAGTGTAAACATGAGCTACCAGTATACCACCTCCTCCCTGTCAAAACTATTAAAGGCACTTGTAACTCCTTAAAAAAACAATAGTTCTGTAGTTTTGTGTCTGTTTAAAGTTGAGCACAGTCACCTCTGTTTTATTGCTTCATTTCTGTGATGTGTGAAAGTAGGTAACAGAGAGTGATCTTTCAATTACCATCTAAAAGTGAACAATGTCCCTGACTCTTCTCATCCTGAACTTTTGTGATATTGAAAAATGTGAAGGTTACATGGGAAGAAGTATCTTCAGGGGCAAACAGATAGAGGTTCAAAGGCAGGATTTCTGAAAACAGGATTTCTGAAAACATAGCAACTCACTATCAGTGTTTATTGGACTTAGGAATGGTATGTTAAAAACATAGAGGTAATGACTGAATGTCTTTAATGTCAAGGTTTTTCTTTACCCATCATAATAACTTACAAATACTTGGTGTTTTAACAAATTTTCACTTAATTAAATCATGTTGCATGTTCCATGCTATTCCAGAAAGCTGTCAGGCCTGTGGAATTACCTTGTTTCCGTAGTTCTCTACTTTTCCCAGTGCAACAAAAAGCAACAGCAATTTTTACCACTCTTGCAGTTGTTACTGTCAGTCCCATGCACTTTATGAAAGCGGTTAAGTCCCCACGACATGTTAAGCTTTGTTTTGGTCTTTCAATGTCTTAAAATAGCAAACACCTACTATCAGATCTGAAGCATTCAGGAGCCAGGTGGTTTCAGGTCTCGCAAGGTTACAGAGAGGATGTCAACAGTCAGCTG